TGTAAACCCTATTCACAGACATTGTTTCTTACACCTGTTTCCACTATATCCTGTTTCTTCTTTTTGTAACTTTTTGGGGGAGTATAATTTCAAATTGCAAAGATAATAAAAATGCTTCCTATATTTTTATTTATGAGTACCCATTGTTTATATTTTCCTCAGTTCTCTGTGTGTTTGCTCACCTGTATGTATATCCTCTGAGCAAGTTGCAGACCTTCACCTCTGATTACTTCAGTGTATGTTTCCTCAGAACAAAATGCCAGTACAGTTATCAAAATCTGGAAATTTCACTCTCATCCAATGTTATTGCTTCATCCACTGTCCATATTCACCTATCATTGACTGCCTCCATAATACCTTCTAGGCTTTTTACCCTGACTTTTTCTGAGTGCACTCCCCCTTTCTTATTTTTAAATTTTTATTTGGAAATAATTTCAAGATCACAGAATAGTCGCAAGAATACTACAGAGCATATCCATGTATTTTACCTAGATTTGGCTATGACTGATGTTTTACTCCACTTACTTTTACCATGTACATAGATTATCCATCTACATTCATAACATTTTTTCCTAAACTATTTGAGAATAACTTGTATACGACATATCTCTTCACTCATGTGTTACTTCCCAAGAAGGACCTTCTTATATAACCATAGTGCAGTTACACACTCTATAAAATTAACACTGATATAATATTGTCATTGAAATGAAATCCACATAACATAAAATCAACCATTTTGAATAATTCCATGGTGTTTGGTACATCACAAAGCCATATAATCAGCACCTCTAGTTCCGAAACCTTTTCACCACCCCAAAAGTAAACCCTGTACCTATTAAGTAGTTTCTCCCTACTCGTCACCTCCCTGCAGCTCCTGGTAACCACTAGTCTGTGTTCTGACTCTATAGATTTATCTATTCTAGATATTTCTTATCAATAGAGTCATATAATATGTGACCTTTTGTGCCTGGCTTCTTTCACTTAGCAATAATGTTTTCAAGTTTCATCCACATTGTAGCTTATATCAGAACTTCATTCCTCTTTATGGCTGAATAATATTCCATTATGTGGATAGACCACATTTGTTTATTCATTCAGTGATGGACATTGAGGCTGTTTCTACCTTTTGACCACTGTGACTAGAGCTTCTATGAACATGTGTGTATAAATATATAGTAAATATATATATATTTATATACACACATATATATACATTTGACCACCTGTTTTCAGTTCTATGGGGCATATACCTAGCAATAGAATTGTTCATTTTGATTATCTGGCCAAGGGTTTTAATTTGTCCACTGTATCCTTACTATTTCATCCCCAACCTGTGGAAATACTTGAAGACCAAGTAAATATGCTACTTCTCCACAAAGTCTCCCCTAGATTTAGCATCCATTGGTAATTCTTACCTAATCTGTTCTTTACTGTGATGGTTGCCAAAGGCTGGTTTTGCAACTCATTCACTCTCTCTGCATTTACCAGGTGGACCATGACATTCTAGTTTAAGCAAGGGTTCCCTCTCCCCATGGATTCATTGATTAACAATTTTTTATGTGAATTCATGAATTCCTGTTTTTTCCCCCAATGGTTTATAATTGATTGCTGTCTTTAATCTTTTTTCATGCTCAATTCATCCCAGAATTGGCCAATGGAGCCCCCTGAAAGCTGGTGTTTGTGTCCTTGTGAAGTGCCTTCATCTTTGTTTTGTTCTGATTTTGGGTGTGTGTGTAAGGACTTCCTTAACTTTCTGTCATAACGAGATGTTCCTCTTGGACTTTCTTGAACCTATCCTGCCCAACCCTTCAGTCAGCCATTTCCCCAAAGATCTATGGTTCCTATTAGAGGAAAATTAGAATTGGTACTCAAAACAGATCAACCACAGGCATTACCTCATGCTGCATTTCTTTTTAGATAAATTCTGGGCATAACTGTGATTATTTTCAGAGAAGTGGGCCTTCTGGGTCATGAAAAATCACGTATTCTTTAAACATAGAAACATCTCAATGCTATGTGAGCACTGGTCTCTACTGAATTTTACATAGGCTGGACACTGTGTATGTGCATGTGTGTGTGCATATACATGCACACATAATTGTGCACAATGACTGCTTTTGTTTTAAAAGGTGAGGATGTAAAGTTACCTGTTTACTGCTCTGTCTCCTCTAAGAGATTGCAAGCTCCTTGAGACCAGTGACTGCACCTGTCTCATTCGCCACCCAACACCCCATAGTGCTTGGCATAGCCTGATATTCTGTAAATGACCATTAAGTGAATACTAATAGCCAAGTATAGCTCCCCTATATGGAGCACTTACAACATGCTGCGAATTATTCAAAGTGCTATATGTGAATTAGCTCTTTTAATCCTCACAATGGCTCTACTATTATATTCCTCATTTTACAGATGAAGAAGGGAGGTTCAGGGAGGCTGAGGGCTTTGGCCAACTTTACACATCCAGGAAATGGAAAAGCTAGATTCACTCCCAGACAGTCTGGCTCCAGAATCTATGCTGTTAACACAACAGAATGCTGCGTTATGGATGGATGGATGATATGTGTGCAGATGGATGAATGAGTGGATGAATAGGTGGATGGTGGGTGGATAGATGGATATGTGTGTGGGTGGATGGATGGACAAATGGGTGGGTGGATAGATGGACAGACAGATGGATATGTGCATGCATAGATGGATAAGTGGATGAATGTGTAGGTAGGTGAGTGGATGGATGGATATGTGGGTAGATGGATAATGAAGGAAAAAAATGAATGAATGAATGAATGAATGAATGAATGAATGACTGGATGGATGGATGGATGGATGAGTGGATGAATGTGTTGGAGTAGATTGATGGATAGATGGATGGATGAATGAACCTGACATGGTAGTTTATCCATTTCTCTCCTTTCTTTGACCTAGCTTCTCATGCAAATATCTCCATTCCCTCTCTTCCTGCTCCCTTGGAATCTGCTCTCTTTCAGTGTGTCTCCAGGAGCTCCTAGATGTCTCCAGGAGCTCCTAGATGTCTCAGGAGCTTCCCATTTAGAGCTGAGGAATTGGGAGGTGGGTGGTTAAGAAAGAGAGAGAGAGAATATCTAACTGCCATTTGCTTTAGACCAGAGGTCGCCAAATGGTAGCTTAGGGCCAGACCTTGCCCCTAGATATGTTCTGTTTGATCCAGTGAGGATTAAAACAGAACAAATAAGGATTTACTATCTAAAGATCAGAAAAGTTACATTGAGTTTTGATTTCCAGCTTCTCTTTAAGAAAAATCAGTAGATCTGGGAACTCAGGCCTTCACATGTGCTAGGCCAGTCTGGGCTGGGCTGAGAATCCGCTGTCTGTGTGATGTGAAACTTGAGACTCTCTGTTTACTGTGGTTTCCACTCATCTCTCCTCATTCATCATCTACTTGGTCCCTGGGGGACCTGAGTTTTCAATCCCTGATCAAGACACTGCCCCTCTAGTCAACCAGTCCAAGGTGAGAGTTCCTTCCTTGGGCTGCAGCATTCCAACGTTGACTCTCTGGAGCAAACAGTTGTCTACAAAAGTAATATTGTTCCATCTACTACCTGTACCCCTGCCTGGTGGATCCTGCTTTACTTCTTATGTTTCCTTCCATTCGTGGAGGTCCCAAGGTTGTTAGTTGCCCTGAGTTCAATTGAGGCTCCAGGGTTGCTACTTACCCTAGGATTTTCCTAATCTTCCCTGCTATGGGTTATACACCCTGACTGTTTAGTCCAGAAGCTATTAACACTCTCATCCAGACCAATGATCATAATATTGAAGGAGCAGGGCAGAATCCTGGGCTTTAAGACACATCACTCTGGTTAACCATTCCAGATTCATTTAGTCATCCAGAAACCATGAATCCCTCTGTGTTACTATGCCTTGGTCCTCCTCTCTCAAACCTTTCCTCAAAAGCATCAGGGGACACCAATCCCTTGCGCTGTTCTCATTTCCTTGCCCAGAAAACCCTAGGAAAGAAGGCAGGAGACAGCAGTATTCCAGGCAGGGATTGAGGGGGTGAGCTAAGGACATCAACAATTTATGCCTCTCTTTCTTGGTTACAAGCTACCCTCCTCCATCACTGAAGCCTGCAGGAGTCCCCAGGAGGGTCACTGCATCTCTCTGCAGCTTCTTGCCCCTCCTGCCCTCTGGCCCTCCCACAGTTCCTCAGATCCCAGACAGCCACTGGGAGAGCATGTCACAGGGCCCTTGCTTCCCTAGGATGTGCCTGTAAAGAAACTTACCAGTCCCAGATCAGTACCACAGCTTTGGTAGCTTGTAACCTTGCTGACGCCTGTGTCCCATTCCATGGTGTTTGTAGCCTGAGCATGATTCTGTGACAGAGAAGACAGAAGCCAATTTACAGACGAGTTGCTGCACTATATTCTCCTTCTCTTGGGCCACCTATGTCTTCATCCTGACCTCTGGCATAATTGTCAAATCATTCCCCATCTTCAGAGCAAGCCCTGTAGGGTGAAAGGGCATCCTAGATAGGTGAGGATCAAATCCTGCTGCCTTGCTGTGCAGATAAGTGACTTGGCCCCTCATCTGCACAAGAGGGATGAGGGCATTGCCAGTGTGCTGACTCCTCTCCATTTGCCACCTTACCAGAGAGACCAATCCTCCCTCTGTACCTGAGACTAAATGGTTTCAAAGGACATAAGCTTTTCCGTGCTAAGACACAGGGAGTTCCTAGGAAGACCGGGATCGTTGGCCACACCCTCCAACTCTTCACAGATCTGCAGAGAGCAGATCTGGGACTCTTTATCCTGGGACTCTGACCCACCGATTGTACTCTTGAGCTCCTCTGCCCTCCAGCTTTAGTTCAGGTTCAGCCAGTGGGTGGCACCTGCAGGGGATCAAATGGTGGGAGGAAAGAAAGGCAGGGATTTTCTTCCTCACTCCCTCTCTGCTTCAAAACCTCCACCATGGCTCCAGCTATCACTGGGCTCCAGTGACACTCATGCTCCTCCTTGTCCCTTCAGGCCAAGGGGAGGTAGGAACCCCCACTCAACTGTTGGCCTCTGACACCGTTCCTGGGACCCCATCCACACCTTGTAAGTATGCATTAAAGTCTCTCATTTGAGCCATCTGGGATAACTTCTGCTGGGTGTGTGATAAGGATTAAATTATATACCCTGTCTGAGGGATCCAGCTCAGTGGCCTGCCGGGATGAGTGCTCAGCAACTTGCTTACTGTTATCATCATGCCAATTTCTAGCCGTTTTTTTTTTTTTTTTAACCTGAGTGTGTTAGGTGTTCTGGACTTGTAGGTAGGAAAGTCTCAGTGTCAGTCCTGACTCTTAATTACTGAGAGTATGGCCTTGGGCATGTCCCTTCATCCCCCCGAGCTTCAGTTTCCTCATCCATGAAATGAGGTTCATTATTGTGACCCTTGGTGTGACTGTTGACTGTGAGTGTTTTAAATCTGTGCCTGGTATCAAAGAGGTGGCCAGTGGTGTAAGATTCTCCCTGTGGTCTTTACTGCCCTATGAGCAAGATGAAGACCCCTCTTTACACCTCCCCACCAAAGACGTACATCTGGATAAGGAGATGCTGCTTCTCCATCCTTGTTTGTTCCCAAGTAAGCATTGATGACAAATATGATACAGGTCACTTTTGGAATTTTCTGTCTTGTCCTCTGGGCCTGCTGCAGCTGCCAGGTGGAGAGGATGATGTGACATGTGGGTTTCTGCCCATTTCCCAGTCTGCACAGCTTCCCATCTGTAAAACAGGATGCCACAACACTTCCTCAGCATTCCCCTTGTACTAGTTGAAGCTGACTCAGAGCAGCAATCTTTGAGCACCACCCGTGTGTCTCCCAGGGAGGTATGGAGAGAACAAGGGGTGCAGGATATAACACTGGTTTAGAAAACATGCTTCTCAAGTCAAATGGCCTTGATGTTGCTCATAGGTATGATGATTAGCATAGTGGCCACTAAGAATCCTGAGATTTCTTCCAGCCCTGAGATTCTGAGTCTTTAGTGTCCTCTACTATAATACTCAATGGCCTGTTGCATTAGTTTCTGTTAGTAGTGCCCTACTCTGTGTCATTATTTGATCACTCTTTTTTGCAAGTTGTACAAAGTCCACCTTGTGAATTTTATCTTATTTATTTATTTTTTAAAAAGATTCTATTCATTCATCTGAGAGAGAGTAGGGGGAGGGGCAGAGGGAGAGGGAGAAGAAGACTTCCCACTGTGCAGGGACCCCCCCAATATGGGGCTCAACCCCAGGACCCCAGGATCATGACCTGAGCCAAAGGCAGACACCCAACCAACTGAGCCACCCAGACACCCCACCATCTTGTGAATTTTAAAAACGGAATATATAGGTTCTCATAACTAAAATTGTATAGTTTCAGGTGAAGCTGGGTCCAGGGGCACCAACTCTAATGCCACCGATTTGTCTGCCTCCAGCTATCAGCTGTGGTTTCTTCTGTGTCTCTTCATAATATTTAAAGATACGCCCCAGCAGATCCAAGCTTATATACCACCAGCTCAGGGACCCCAAAGGAAACAAGTGCCCTTTGCTCAAGACCTCTAGCCAAAGTCCTGAAGTTAGCTTTTATTTAACCTGGCCAATCAAGTTTGGGTCATGTGACCATTCCTAACCAACCACCATGGCTATGGGTGTGTGATGACCTGATTAACTGGGTCCACTGCCCAACCTGATATGAGAGGAGGCAGGCCCTCCAGAACCACAGAGCATCTTAAGAGGTTGGACCTGATGACTCCAAAACCATTCTGAGGTCTAATATGTGAAGCTTCTGCAATTCTTATGTGTTCACTTTCGGGGCAGCATAGCACTGTCATTAAGAGCTAGATCACTTGAGTTCAAGTGCTGGCTGCCCCAGTTTCTGGCTATGTAAACTTGAGCAAGTTACTCAACTTTCCTGAGCTATAGTTTTATCATCTGCAAAATTAGAATAAAAATTTTGTCTACCTTGGAGATATGCCATGAAGATTAAACAATCTTTGCAAAGTGCTAAGAACTGGGTCTGGCACATATTAAATTCTCTGTGGGTGTGCTTGGTGCTAGGGATTCAAACATAAACCCACTAGACCTGTGCCCTGCCCTTATAGAGCACATAATCTGGGGTAGGAGGTGGTTCTTTTAATGAACACATACTGATTGAGACCTAATATGAGAGGTGAATTGGATGAGTGATTATAATACAGACTGGTAAGTGTGAGAACCCAGAAGGTTACCTAATGGGGGCTTCCAGAACTGAGGATTAACAGGTGAATCTGCAAGTAGGAAGGTTGTACCTGGCAGAGGGAAGAGCAAATACAAAAAGTCTGGAGACAAGACTAGATATACTGCCTTGGAGAAGTAAAAGTTTGAGCACGAATAGAGGCTGGCATTTAAGGTTTGATGGGGAGGTAGTAGTGGCAATGGCCTGGGGAACAGCCACCATGAGGCTGGAAAGGGCAGTAGGTGACACATTGCCTGCCCAGGGTCTTGCATGCTCTTTTTGTAGGAATCTGGGCTCCAGCTTAAGGGCTGTACAGACTCCCTGAAGAAATTTCTATTTTTTTAATTTTTAAAATTATTTTAATAGCTTATGTGAGGTATAATTGATGTATGATAAACTGTGCATATTTAAGTGTACAATTTGATAGATTTTGTCATGTGTATACACCAATGAAACTGTCACCTCTATCAGTAATGAATATATCCATCACTCCCCAAGATTTGCTTGTGTCTCTTTGTTGCCCCCTCCCTGTAGCCATTCCTGCTTCCTCCATCCCCAACAAACTACTAATCTGCTTTCTGTCACCATAAATTATTAACTTACATTTTCTAGAAATTTATATAACTGGAACGATACAATTTGCACTTGTTTTGGTGAACGGGGCTGGCTTCATTCACTCAATATAATTATTTTAATATTCCTCCATACTATAGCAGATAATATTTCATTTCATTTTATTCCAACGGAGTAGTATTCTATTGTAGGAATATATCACAGCAAGTTATCTGTTCACCTAGAGATGAGCAATTCAGTTGCTTCCTATTTGGGAATATTACAGATAATTCTGCTGTCAACATTTATGTGCAAATCTTTGTGTGAACATATAGTTTTCTTTCTCATGGGTAAATACTTAGAGTGAAATTGCTGGATGATATCATAGTGTGTAATAAACTTTTAAAGAAACTACTCAGGGGTTCCCTGGGTGGCGCAGCGGTTTAGCGCCTGCCTCTGGCCCAGGGCGCGATCCTGGAGACCCCGGATCGAATCCCACGTCGGGCTCCCGGTGCATGGAGCCTGCTTCTCCCTCTGCCTGTGTCTCTGCCTCTCTCTCTCTCTCTCTGTGACTATCATAAATAAATAAAAATTAAAAAAAAAAAGAAACTACTCAGATGTTTTCCAAAGTGATGGTACCATTTTATATTCCCACCAGCAGGTTTTGAGAATTCCAGCTGTGTCTCATCCTCACCAACACTTGGTATCATGACTCTTTTTTTCGCTTTAGTTGTCCTAATACCTGGGTAGTAGTTTTAGTTTGCTTTTGCCTCCTGATTAGTGATGCTGAACATTTTTCCAAGTGTTTATTTGCTATCTGTATATCTTTTTTGGTGAATTGTCTGATCAAACTTTTCCCCCATTTTGTACTTTGAGCATTCCTTATTATCTTCTGGGCAGTTATCTTTGATCATACCTATAGTCTGTAGATACTTTCACTGTCTGTGACTTGACTTTTCATTTTCTTAGCAGTATCTTTCAAGGAGTAGAAATTTAAGTTTTGATGTGGTCCAATTTATCAACTTGTTCTTTCATCAATAGTACTTTTGGTAGTGTATCTAAGAAATAATTGCCTGGGTCTTTGCTTATAGTTGTGGAACTGTTCTCCCATTTTTGTCCCTTATTCCATCAGTTACTGAGAGAGAAGTACTAAAATCTCTAACTATGATGTGAATTTGTCCATTTATCCTAGTATTTCTATCAGTTTTTGCTTTGTGTATTTTAAGCTTTCTTGCTAGGAGCTTAAACATTTACAATTATTATGTCCTCTTGATAAATTGACTCCTTTATCATTGTGAAAGGTCCTTCTTTTTTCCCTGATATTCTTTACAAGCATAATTGCAGAGAAATCTACTTTGTCTGATATTCATGTAGTCACTCCACTTTTTGATTAGTGTCAACGTGGTATATCTTTATTCCTTTTTTTTTTTTTTGCTTTTGACATATTTGTGACTTTATGTTGAAGTGCATCTCTTGTAGGCAGCATATAGTTGTGTCTTGCTTTTTTTTTTTCAAAGATTTTATTTATTTATTCATGAGAGACAGAGAGAGAGAGGCTAAGACATAGGCAGAGGGAGAAGCAGGCTCCCTCTGGGGAGCCCAATGTGAGACTCGATCCTAAGACCCCAGGATCATGACCTGAGCCAAAGGCATACACTCAACCACTGAGTCACCCAGGCACCCCTGTGTCTTGCTTTTTAATCCAGTTTGACAATCTGCCTTTTAATTGAGGGGCTTAGACCACTTGCATTTATTGAGATCAAAGGCACAGTTAGCTTTAAATGTCTTATGCCACCATTCATTCTATCTGGCCTTTGTTTCCTTTTTCTTCTTTTTCTCCTCTCTTTTGAATTGATGGAATGTCTAATTCTATATTATTTCCTTTGTTAGTTTATTAACTCTAATTATTTGTTTTGTTGATATAGTGGTACCTTTAGGATTTATAGAATAGATCTTGAACTTATCCCAGCCTATCTTCAAGTGGTATCACTTTGCACACAGTATGCCTTATAATGGTGGATTTCTATTTTCCTCCCCTGAACCTTCGTACTTCTTGTCATGCACATTATTTTTGTGTATATTATAAGCACTACACTCTTGTTATTTTTATTTAAACAATCACTATCTTTTATAAAGTTTTGAATAATTTTCAAAAATTTATATATTTGCCTATGTGGTTCCCATTTACAATGCTTCTTTATTCCTTGTGTCTGTATTCCCATCTGGTATCATTTTCCTTCTGTCTGAAAGATTTTCTTTAACATTTCTTATAGTACGATTCTGCTGATAATGAATTCTTTTGGGTTTT